TATATATATATATATATATATATATATATATATATATATATATGTATATTATATTATATATATATATATCTATGTGTATGTGTATGTGATCTAAACACCTTTCTATCTATCGACCTTCCTCTCGCTCTCCGGGAGTGTATGGTTTGGCGTTGTTTATGCTGCAGTCAAGTCCCAGACGCAAACGCCAAAAAGGGTGCAGTTGTTCACGTCAAGTACAGTAAACCACAAATGGCGGTGGTAGCACAGAAAACAAGAATGCTCAAGGGGAATTCACAAAAAAAAAGTATTGTTTGGTATTTAATTGCACATTACACTACTCACTCTTCATATTATATATGTATATATGCTGCATGCTTCTCTTGTTAATTATTAATGGACTTCTTTGTTTTACACCAATTCCGTGTCGTTAGCCGTCGCTCTCATTGATGGCGCAGATACCACACAATGGCATACCATGGCACCGGGGACGTGTGTGCGGTATAAGAGGAGGAAAGAAAGACAAAAACACGTTCATATATATATATATATATATGCCTCAACGAAAGTCCGCTGCAGTAGTCTTGGCAAAAAGATAAATGCAAACCTAAACCTCCACCACAAAAAGGCAGGAACACGAGAAGCGCTGAGCAAATGATCAAAAATAATGAAGAGAAAGTGACCCCAGCAGCGGTCCCCCCTTCTCTTCACACACGCTAGTCAAAAAATCCGTTGTTTATTCCCTGCTTGATCTGACGCCGTATCTTCTGCTTCTGCCGCCCCTTCTGCACGTTGCGGTGAAGGCCCAGATTGAACTGATGGTTGTCTTTGCAGCGAATGTTGCGTCGCACCTGCGATCGCACGTAGCCCTCGTTGACAGTGCCATCAGGATTAAAGTTCACATTCTGCTGCTGCTGCTGCCACTGACCACGTCTCTCAACAGCTGCCTCATCAACTGCCTCGTCAAGAGACCGCGCCACACTACTCACCTCATCCTCGTTGCCATCACAGCCACCATCATCGCCTTCATCTTCCGGATGCTGCTGCTGCTGCTGCTGCTGCCGTCCCTCATTTTCTTCCTCAGTGTCACCGGCCCCATTTTCCTCAAACGCCTGTGCACCACCTGCACCGTCAATCCCCTCTGGTGTCGTCCCTGAAGGAATCGTTGTGCCAACCGCATCCCCTTCACAGTCTTCATCCTCATCGTCATCCTCACCTTCACCGTCGGCCTCATCGCATGATGCCAGCTGAGTTTGCAAAAGACGCTCAAGATCCTGTTGCTGTCTGCTGCTGAAGCACCCGCTAGCAAAGACCACGCGATCCAGTTCCGCCTTGCGCTCCACGTCCCTTTCAAGCGTTGGGTAAAAGAGTGATTTTACCTTGAAACGACGATGGAAAAAATTCGCAAGGTTTTCCACATCTCGACTAAATAGTTCTGCTGCGTTGGGGTGATTCGTTGAGACCATTTGCGGAAAGTCAATCACGATGACGCGCATGTCCTCCGTAATCATAAGATTAAACTCGTTAAAGTCACCATGTACGAGGCCGTGCTCGCCAAGCTTAATCATGAGGTCCAGCGAACGCCTGTAAACCTTCTCCGGGTCACCCAATGCAGTGATGTTGTTTAGCAGCGTGCCGTCCACCAGCTCCATCAAGAGTGCGTGACGGTTCTGATCAATTGGTTTCGGAACGGGGAATCCCTCGTCATAGAGGGTCTTCATGAAGGAGAACTCCTTCTCCGCGGCAAGGCGAGAGAGATAAAACCAACTCTCACCGTGTCGGGCGCGGCCACCGCCTTTGTAGTCCCTGTTACGTGTGACGCTTCGGAAGCTGCAGCGCCCGAGACGCTGCAACTTTAGCACACATTCATTGCCGGACTCGTCCTTGACAAGAATAATGTCGGACTCTTTGCCGCATCCAATGCGGTGACCGACGGCAGCGACGGTGCCGCGTTTGCACAGGGTACGGAGCGCCAAGTAGTCGTACGCGCCGTACTTCATTGCGTAGCCATCGTACATGGTGTTCTCGTGGTGAATCATCTTGTGCTTAAGGAGGCACTTCAGGCGCTTGCGACAGCCACCGTAAGGGAGTTGTGCGATGCGTTCAATGAGGGCTGTAGGGGCAACGTCGTGGTTTCGCATCGTCATCTCGAGAGCAGTGAGAACGCGAAAGTCCTCCTCCTCCAGAAATCGCAGAAGCGACACGTCGAGTTTCACCATTATTGTCCCCTTCCAAAGCCACTACACTCGTTCCCTCACTCACTCACTCTCTGTGTGCACCTGCAGGCAATCAAAGAAGAAGAGATAAGATCGGGGTGGCAGGCTCACAGACGTACGTGCAGACGATGACGATACAAAGCGATGCAAGCAGCGAAGACGCAAAGGATAAGGGGGGGGGGGGGCAACAAGATCAACAAAACACTAAAACAAAATACACTTGCACTAAAAGCATCCAACAGGCACTAAAGTGCATGCGCCGCAGTCGATGACAACACGCCATCACGCAGGCGGCAAACATAACCGCCAACAACATACGAAAGCGCAGAGAGGCGCAAGAAGAAAGGGGGGGTGGGGGGTGGGAACAAAAAAAGAAATGTGCGTGGGGTGTGTGAAGCAGGAAGCCAAAAGCAACAACAGCAGTAGTCTCCAGCCCTGGCTAGCTTCCCCCGAAGAAATTATAAAAGGCAACCCCGTGCCTGGCAACCGAGCAGAGAAACAAAACGAGAACGCAACCTCCGGCCACAATAATAAACAAAAACAAGCAATAATAATTGAAAATGTGACACACCTCCACGATAATTACGCCACCGTGCCTCACAGATTTTTCTTTGCCTCCCACCCCGTCTTTGTTTTTATCGTACATTGCCTCCGCGTTGTTTCGACATCTGCATTTAAAGTGCTGTCGCCCATCACTGCCCCGCCCAAAAAAAAAAAAAGTGAGGCAGTAAATGCAACAAAAAAAAAAAGACAACACTGCACAACGCAAGCTGCAGAATATATATATATATATATATACTCCTACCGAAGGTGCTGCAGCGTGTCATTGTACAACTTCTGCATCATAACTCCCTGTGATATGAGCGCGCTGAGATCCTGCGTGCTAAGCTCCTCGGTGGGTAGGTTCTGCAAAAATTTCATCACGGCACCGTAGTCCGTCTCCTTGCAGAGCGCAGGAGACCACCACACCAAGAGCGCAGCACATACATAGACATGAGTGGTGCTCCAATCCTTTTCTACATCTGCAAGGTACGTGTCCCACAACCGCAGAGACTGAGTGGCGTTGAGCTCTCGCAGGAGCAGGCAGTTCATCCAGCGAAATGCGAACTGGTTAAAACCAATCCGCAGTTCTTCACGTAGATGCCTGTGAAGCTTCGCATCAACTGCACGCGTCACCGCCTCCAACTTGCGTACCATGCTGCAAATACCCTTTTGGTTGTATGTGTAGTTTTCTTGCACCGCGCTCAGAAGGTAGGACGCCATCCAATACGTGTCGGCTTCAATGGTGTACATCCACTCTTCTTCACTAACGGCTTCAGTAGAGAACAACACGTTCAGGTCTGTCTCTGTCAGCGAGTGTAGCTCCGCCACAGTCTTGGAGGGACAAAACTGACTTGCCAAAATGACGCTAATAAAAGGGATTAAAAGATCGTTCATCCCCTGAACGTAACCGCAGGCAGGATGACGCAGCGCCCAAATGTACAAAATCCTTTCAATGGAGAGCATGACTCTTGCATGGTAAAGATACGCCACACCCGCAGCCATGCGAGGCACGTCTTTGCGAATCTGCTTCAGCATCAGCAGCTCTGATTCACCAGGGACACCATACTGCGCTCCTAGCACCGCCTGCCTCTGGCGAATATTACTCGGAGCCCCAACACTGACAGGAGAGGTGTTGTCACCCCGTTTTGCTTCCGCTGAGGTCGCACTGACACGCGTCGTTTCTCCTTCCCCCACCACCCGCAACGCGGCATCCCAATCTACCGAACTGTAACTAGACTGCACATATCCTACATACTCCTGTCGTTTACGTGCGAGCACAGTGGCTCGGCTCGAGGAAAAGGGTTGCAGGTTTCCGGTTAAATAATCCCAAACTTCGCGACGAAACGGAGCCGGGCAGCCACTCCTGCAGATGCTGCATAGCTTATCGAGGTCTACAGGATCCTCTGCAAGCATCTTGCGCAGCACCTCCTCGTCATGCAACGATTCTTCAGGCAACGCCCGTGATTTCTTCGTCAAGACATCAACCGTGCTTTCACACCTATTTGACGACAAGATTGGGAGCTGCCGCCCCTTAATAGGCATTTGGCGATGAGAAGACTTATCATTCCGCTCCGGAACCGCCGAAGTAAAACGTCGCACAATTCCTTCTTTCATGCGGGAGAACATGATGCCCCTCTTCTACTTCCTCCTCCTTCCTCGCAGAAGAACCACCAGATCCTTCTCCACACACTCTCTAATACCAGCAGAGAAAGCAAGGACAAGCACAGGCAGAGATGCATCCGCATCACAGTAAGACACATAATCGTGAAAATCAAATTTACACAGTCACTCTTCATTTATTTTTTTTACCCCTCTTGCGCGTATGCCTCATCCGCTACGTCCACCACTTGGACAGTCGGGTGTACAAAAGAAACAAACGAGGGGAAAAAAATCACGGTTTAATCAAAAAAAAAAAAAAAGGAACGAAGCAAACAAATTACACCCTCAACGCTTCGAAAGCATTTTTTTCTTTCCAAAAAGTGCGGCGTTTCGCATCGCATCTAATTTTTGGAGTCTGTTCAACGGTTTGTTTTCCTCTGGAATCGACTGTTCCTCCGTCTTTCGTGGCGCACAAGATTCCCCAGTTTCACGCGGATGGGCACTTTGATGTCCACCATCCCCCATTTTACGGCAGGGCCGTCCGACGCCAACAGAGAGAGTGCGTCCCTCGGCTTCTCTCTTATCTCCGACCACATGCTGATGCCGCTGTTGTCTTCCTACTTTATGGCGCCCCTCATCTGACATTGCCTCTGTACAACTTTCGCCGTTGCGCTGGGCTTTTTTTTTCAGTACACCCCGCGGCACGACACGCTGCAGGGCCGTCTTTTCCCACGAAGAGAGAGCAACCGCTAAGCCTGCATCAGAAGCTGTCGAAGCATCCTCATTTTTCTCATCGGCGTTGTTGGTGGCAATGGAGCCGTAAATACTTTCTGCCTCTTGCTGCTGCAATCGCCTCTCCTTTGCACTGAGGGCCTTTGCCCCAACCCCCGCTCGGTTCCACGGACGGCAAATATCATCTTCATTGTTGTCAGCGTCATGGCCGTCACCGCTCCCACGCACAGCGTGCAGTCGGTGCGACTCGTGACTCAAAGAGCCTCCTGCCGCATGGCGCTCTGCAGTCAGGGCAAAGGCAGGGTCAATGTCAAACGGGCATCGCAGATAACCCCCGCGACTGGACTTCACGGGGTGTTGGAGCGTCGACCTCTCCACCCCCACTTCTCGTTCCACGCGCATCCCTGGCTCAATCGCAAGCGCCACCGTGAGCGAACTACCCCCACGCAGCAGCACAACACTACCAGGAGGATGTATACAGCACAAAACAAAAAAACAGCCAAAAAGAAAACGGAAAAAAGGAACGTAAAAAAAAAAAGGATGCGCCCTGCACTGGCAGAGTCCTACTTACTGCAATGGAAGAAAAAACCAAAGCATCAGCAAATGGGGGCTACACCCGTTTGAAAAGAGGTTCAAAAACGCCAGGCCACAGACACACACATTCACAGCCGCATGTCACGCTACACTTCTCACCAACTTCCTGCGCAGTCACCGGCTGCGGCATTATGTCCGCTTGCGGAAGAGAGGAAGTGCCGATAATAGGCAGAGAGGAAAGAAAGCATGCAAAACTACCCCCCCCCCCAAAAAAAAAAAAAAACCAGCTGCACGTCAGCTAGCAAAAAAAAAAATTCTCCGTCTACACGACCCCGCGGGGTGAAGGGTAGTCGGAGGAGTTAAACCGAAACTCTCACTAACAGGAAGAGTAAAACACAACAACAACCACACAAAAGTAGATTGCAAGTGACCTTGCTTCCTACGGCTTTTTTTATTTTTTCTATCCTCACTAACGAAATCCGGCTCCGTCGCATAAAAATCAACGGCGACGTCATCCTCTTACCACAGGCACGATTCCAAGAACCTACCTATGTAAGGTATAACATAAATCATATACCGAAGGTGAAGAGAAGATATGTGCGACAAAGAACACAAGAGTGGGCATATATAAATTGTCTCAGCTTATGGCCTGCGGTGTGTACTGCACCTTCTACTCAAAAATTCTCCCTGCTCTTTAAAGCAAAGAGCTCCTTTGTGACTTCTTTCCATTTCACATCGTTTCCGCGCCACAACGCATGAAGACCCTGCGTCGTCCGGTCAAGCATCACGACAGCTGAAGGCCAATCCTCAAGTCCACCAAAGATGTGAGTTGCGTACACGACAGTCACACCCCGATTGACGCTTTCACTGTATAAAAATGATAACAGACCATGGCGTTGGTCAAGATCGAGATCGGAAGTGGCCTCATCAAGAAGAACAATAGGCTTGTCTTCTAGTAAGTGAAAAAGAAGCTGCACACGCTTCTGCTCACCTGCGGAAATGTGGCGGACATCCCAAGACAAGTCCACTTCAAGTAGTTCGCGTAACCGCTCTGCCCGTGGTGTTTTGATTTGCATTATCTCATGCACGTGCATTTCCCCTGGCGGTGCGGTAACCCACCAGTCACCGCCGAACGCAATGAGACTGTTCAGCGTCATGTCATCGTAAGAGGCCTTCCCAAGAATACAGAGAGATCGGGCGCGGTTGTTGAAGAACTGTTTCCCACCCATCATGTTCATCAGGGTCGACTTCCCCGCGCCGTTGCAACCACACAGCAACACACGCTCCCCTTTGTACACCGTTAAGGAAAAATCGCGAAATACATCCTTATATTGAAGTCGGTCGCACACGATAACAGCCTCCTTTTCCAAGGACAGGGGCGTTACTGTGTCTCCCACCTTCTTGTCGTCGCTGCATTCATCTTGTGTTTTTGCATGCATGCTGGTGAGGCCAAAGCGGTGATGACGCCTGGTAAGGAAGCGGCATACAAACTCCTCCAAGGGTTCTTTAATGTCCAACACCCGTTTAAAATCAACCACCGTGCCCTTCTGAAGCAACAAGAGGTGCGTCGCCCAGTCACTCACGCCATCCAAAATGTGAGTCGCGTATAAGCAGCAACTTTTATGAGCAACACACTCGGACTTCACAAGATCCAACACTGTCTTTCGCTCGGCAACGTCGATGTCGGTGCTGCATTCGTCAAGTAGGTAGACCCAGCTCTTATGTAAGAAGCCGTGAAGAATCTGAACCCGTCTCCTCTCCCCGGAACTCATACTGCTGATCGCGCGCCCTAAATTAAGATGTAGAGCATCGGCCACCCGTTGCCTCCGTTCCGGCAGCGGAGCCGGAGTGGTCACCTGGCCGACCGTAGTGGCAAATAGGGCCTCCGTTGGCCATGGCTGACCAATGAGCGTCACATGCTGCTGCAGACGCGTGTTATCAAAGGCGTCAGAGCCAAGGACAGTGGCGCGACCAGTCGACGCCTTTCGCCGCCCCGCAATGAGGGAGAGAAGCGTTGACTTGCCACTTCCGTTGTGGCCCACAACAAGCACGCGATCACCGCCGTTCACGCGGAGGCAGACATCACGTATTCCACCCCTCACGCCCTCGCTGCACGGGTGCTGGAAGGAGACGGATACGAGATCCACCAGCGGGTCTGTGAATATATGGCGCATTCCCAATTTCCACGGCGGCGCAGAAGCGGATGGAAATATACACAAATAAAAAATAACCCCCGGAAAAAACCTACAAACAAATACAACAATACTAAAGATTTTTCAAAAAAAAACATGAGAAAATAACTACAAAGAGCCGACAGCGAATAAAAAAAGAGCCCCCTTTTCCCCACCC